ATCATTTTACATTCCCACCCACAGTGCATAAGAGTTCCAATCTCCCCGCAGCCTCTCCAACACTTGTTATTTTCTGTTTTTTTGATTGGTGCCAGTAATGTCAGGGTGAGATGGTATCTCACTGTAGTTTTGATTTGCATTTCTGTAATGGCTAGTGATTGTGAGCATTTCCTCATGTCTGTTAGCCACCTGAATGTCTTCTTTGTTGAAGTGTCTGTTCATGTCCTTTGCTGGTTTTTTAATTGGATTATTTGTGTTTTGTGGTAAAGGTGTTGGATTTCCCTATAGGAAAGATGTTATACTTTTTGTGTATAAAGTACATATGTGTGTGTGTGTGTGTATATATATATTATATGTATATATATATTATATACATATAATATATATATACAGTTGTATACACACACACACCCCACACAAACAGATACAGAGTACATTTCTGGTATTAAAATTTCATGGTGGTTGTGCAGTTAGAAAAGTATGTCTAAAAAGACTCCATAGTGGGGGTGATGATGAAAAATAAATTGAGAAATGCTGCTCTGTATGTGATGTATTTTTTTCTCTGGCTACTTTTAAGATTTTCAGCCACTAGTTTTAAGTAAAATGATGATGATTCCTTGGTGTAATTTTCATGTTTCTTACGTTGCAAGTCATAGAGCTTTTTGAACTAGTTAGCTTATTGGAAACCCTGGTGGTGTAGTGGTTAAGTGCTACAGTTGCTAACCAAAAGGATGGCAGTTCAAATCCACCAGGCACTCTTGGAAGCTCTGTGGGCAGTTCTACTCTGTCCTATAGGGTCACTATGAGTTGGAATCAACTTGACGGCAATGGAGTTACTTATAGTTTCATAAAATTTGAAGATTTTTGGTCATTATGTCTTTAAATATCAACAAAAAATATAATTTTTTGTCACTTAAATGCTCTTCTGCCTTGAATTCTTTTTTGTCTGCTGTTTTGGGGATTGTTGGTTGTTGTTGTTGTTAGGTGCTGTCAAGTCGGTTCCAACTCATAGCCACCCTATAGGGCAGAGTAAAACTGCCCTATAGTGTTTCCAAGGAGCAGCTGGCGGATTTGAACTGCTGATCTTTTGGTTAGCAGCCTGTTAGCAGTCGAGCTCTTAAACCAGTGTGCTATCAGGGCTCCACATTTTGAGGATTAGAATTTGCTTTAAATTTCCTTTATACATATCAATCTGTGTCATTTGGGTTTTTTTGTCCCCTTGAAAACAGCACAAAATGACATTTTTTACTTATTGTTTTGAAATAGATTCACAAGAAGTTACAAGGCTAGTACAGAGAGGTTCTCTGTACTCTTCACCCAGTTTCTTCCATTGATTACAACTTATATGTTGTTGTTGTTGTCATGTGCCGTCAAGTTGGTTGCAACACGCAGCGACCCTATAGGACAGAGTAGAACTGCCCCATAGGGTTTCCAAGGAGCCGCTCGTGGATTTGAGCTGCTGACCTTTTGGTTTGCAGCTAAGCTCTTAACCACTGTGCCATCAGGCAACTTATGCAGTTATAGTATACTATAAAAACTAGGAATTTGGCACTGGTAAAGTGTGTCTGATTATAGTCCTATGCCATTTTTATCACATGTGTACATTGGTGTAACCACCACCACAATCACGATGCAGAACTATTCTATCACCACAAAGATCTCCCTTGAGCTACCCCTTTGTAGCCACAATCTCCCCTCCTCCCTGCACCATTTCTAACCTCTGGCAACCACTCAACCGTTTTCCATTTCTGTAATTTTGTGATTTCAAGAATGTTGTATAAATAGAATCATGCAGTATGTGACATTTTGAGATTAGCTTTTTTTAGTCAGTATAATGTTCTTGAGATCTATCCAAGTTGTTGCATGTATCGTTAGTTCATTCATTTTTGTTGCTTATTTATTTCATTGTATGTATGTACTAAAATTTGCTTAACTATTTTTTAATGAGGGACATTTTGATTGCATTTAGATTTTGGTTATTACAAATAAAGCTGCTATGAAAAATCATGTACAGGTTTTTGTGCAAACATATGGTTTCTTTTCTCTGGGATACACACCCAGGAGTGCAAATACTGGGTCTCATGGTAAGTACGTGTTTATATTTTTACTTTAACCTGATGACTGCTTTAGTCAGAGAATTTAAGTCCCTTATATATATAACACGATCACAGATACGTACAGACTTATCTCTACCATCTTATTTTATGAATCTAACTTTCATGTCTTTCTTAGTTCCTTTTCTCCCCTGTCCCGTCCTTTTTATGTTTCTTGATTGATTGTGTTTCCTTTGTTATATTTTTTTCTCTCTTCTGATATAAAATTAAATGTTTCTTTATGGCTTACTCTTAATTTTCTTTTAAAACAGTAAACTTTAACTTAACCCTTTTTTAAAAAGCATCTAGAATTTAGTAACATCTAAAAATTTGCTTCCCACATGAAAAGACTACCACTACACTACTATTACTCTCTCTTCTCTCTAACTTATCACTTCCCATATATCTGGAATATTATTCCAACCATTCGATATATGTGCTTTTTATAATCAGCACTATTTATAGGTTTGTAGCCCTGGTGACGCAGTGGTTAAGAGCTCAGCTGCTAACCCAAATGTCAGCAATTCGAATCCACCAGCTGCTCCTTGGAAACCCTATGGAGCAGTTCTACTCTGTCCTATAGGGTTGCTATGAGTCGTAATCAGCTCGACAACAATGAGTTTCTTTATAGGTTCACATCCTGGCTCACCTTCCTACTAGCTCTGGGACAAATGGCAAGTTATTCAACTTCTCTGTGCTTTAGTGTCATCAGTTTCCGGATGTGTAGTTCATAGGGTTGTTATGAGGATTGAATAAATTAATACATGTACAAAATTTATGACAGTAATTTTCCCATCAGTGTATCCAGAAAGTTCTCTTTGGTATCAAACATAAATCCTAAGACTGTTTAATTCTGCTAATTTCCTATAGTTTGCAAGGATTTTCACAACTGTATCTGTAATCTCTCACTCTTATTATTCCTTTCCAGGGGTAAATTGACTTTACTGAAATGCATCATCCAGGACTCTTTCAAGTGTTGTATCCAATTCATATGAGCTAGAGGAAACAGAAAACTTAATGACTGGTATGACTAGCCATAAAGCTTCATATGACTGTGGGTATGGCTGCCTCTAAAACCAAAACCAAACCAAATCCGTTGCCATCGAGTCAATTCTGACTCATAGTGACCCTGTAGGACAAAGTAGAACTGCCCCATATGGTTTCCAAGGAGTGGCTAGTGGATTTGAACTGCTGACCTTTTGGTTAGCAGCCAAACACTTAACCACTGCACCATCAGGGCCCAAAGGCTGGATCTAGAGTTTCAAATAATGTAATCAAGCTTTCTCTCTGACTCGCTAGGCTCTACTGTCCATTTTTCTTGGATTCACTCTCAAGCTAATCCTCTTTATACTACAACAAAGATAGTCCCAAGGATCTTTAGCCTTCCATAGTCTTCACTATTGAAGATATCAGAATTTATATTATATTAAGTCAAAGGAAAAAAATACAACAAAACCCAAGTTCAGTTGACTCTGCTAGGACCAATCCCTTATGCAGAGGGTAGAGTGGTTTGCTAGAGCAGTAGGAGCCAAGGAGAGGCAAGGTCACATAATTGACAGTTAGTTCCATTAGTATGCTATAAAGTGGGGATTATGCAGTTCTCCAGGAAAAGAGGGGCTCTGTTACCAGAAGTGGGAGCATTGAGTAGGACTAAAGCAACAGATGTTCAATACAAGAGGCAATAAAGATGAGGTAAGATAAGAGACTGAATCATTATTTTCTATCTTTAATCCCTTATCTCTCTCAAAAGTTTTTCTGAAAATTTTATCCTATATTCCTAAAGGATAAATGCCATAGAGTCAGATTAGCTCCTGGCAGTGGGTTTTCATGTAGGAAAAGTCACAGGTTTTCAGGATCCAGGGGGCCTTGCTGGGAACTTTGCAACTCCTCCAGGACTGTGGACTTCTGGAGAATTGCCCCATAAGACTTTTCCTCTTCCCAGTTGGAAGTCATCTTGAGCTTATCTTTAGTGGTAAAAATAAGGAAATGAGTCTGCTTTCTCCAAAGATTTATTTAACAATTACTTTATTGCTCTGAGGGAAGAACTTTAAGTTCAGTTGGTCACCACAGGAAGCTTGACTTAATATTTGTGAAGTGTGGCATGAACTGGTCAAGAAGAGTTGGTTCTTCTCCTGAATGTTTTCATTTTATTAAAAATAATTTCTTTCATTATTTTTGTGGTTGTTGAAAATATACACAGCAGTACATACACCAGCTCAACAATTTCTACATGTACAATTCAATGACATTGATTATACTCTTCAAGTTGTGCAACCATTCTCACCCTGCTTTTCCAAACAGTTCCTCCTGCATTAACACAAATTCATGCCTCCTAAGCTTCCTGTCTTACCTTTTGAGTTGCTCTTGTCAGTTTGATACCATATAGATAGCTCTTTAAAAGAGAACAGTGCTCAAAAGGCAGACATTCTTTACTAATTAAGCTAAAATATTGCTTGGTTTAAAGAAGACTTCATGGGATGTCTTTGTTTTAAAGTTTAAAGATTATCTAAGGACAATAATTTTGGGGGTTAATCCAGCCTCACTGGTTCCAGAAAGTGTGGATGCCATGAGAATTTGAAATTCTTCTCTATATTTTTCCCCCTTTTGATCGGTATTTTATGTTCAGTAATTGCAGCCAGGTACTATCCAGTTCTTCTGGTCTCATAGCAAAGCAGGCAGTTGTTCATGGAGGCAATTAGCCAGGTATTCCACTGAATATTTTCATTTTTAAGTGGGAGCACAGATTAGGAATAACTGACTTGATTGAATTGGTGGCTCATGGAACAGCCACAGTGCAGACTATGTCTGCATGCTGATTGGGAGGTGAGAGCCAAACACAGCATCTGGTATGCTAGCAGACAATTAATGTTTTTAATTAAGTGAATGAACTGCAGAGATGTGTGCTATTTAGCAAATATAGTTTAACAATATATTAATCTGATTTCTGACCACAGATTGAGGTGGGTGGACCTCAAGTGTGCCATATGCAATGGTCATATCCCAGGCATCAATGACACCCATATTAATAGCCTGGAAAATGTCCTTCATGGCAAGATACTGAATGTAGCCATGAAAGTCACTGAATCTCCCTGGATCACTGTACATCTCCCTGGTGTTTTCTGCCTTGATGATAACCATAGTGTCTGGGCTTCTCAGAAGAAGACGCTGAACAGCTTTGTGGACAATGAGGGCCCTTCGGATGAAAACATCAGTGGGAAAGGGTCTAAAATGCTGGCCCAGAGAAATAACAATGACAGTATTTTTTCCTCCTTCAATTCTGTCAATGACCTGGGAAAAGTACTCAGTCCTTTTGACTGAATAGTTCAATGATCCAATCAAGGCGTAACCGTGTCTTTGCCACCGGATGTTGATATTCCTATCCAAGTCCACAGCAAGTTGATGTTGAAGTTTTCCAGATTCATGTAGATCCACTGACTTCAGTGCCGATGACAAATATGCAATCCCAAAATCAAAAGAGAATAAGGATTGACTAGTCATAAAGATAGAAGAAAAGATTTGATGTTTATAAATGAACAAATTGATCATGTCTGATTTATTATAGTTTAAATGAGAGAAGAGTTTTGAAAGTTGAACAATCAAAAATGTTATACGAATGTAAGAGACTATGTTGTCCATTTGTAGAATCATGTGGGACCAAATGGACTAGTGATGGTAAGACATTGAAGTAACTTCACTGGGGAATGATGTGGTCAGTTTTGTAGGTATTATTTCTGTACATTTTGTTAACTGTAGACTACACTAATTTGAGGGTAGATAAAGGTACTATTGGATACAACAAAACTGGAAACTTACCTACTTCCCCAGTACTCTGTAAGTTTTTTTAAGAGTGAGATTGCATTCTATACTTCTATACTTCCTTTACATATTCATAGAAAAGTACTGAGTACATTACCTATAATAATAATAATAGTATTATTACTTATTTGTAAAGTACTTTACAGTTTACAAAGCATTTATTTGGATGATATATTCATTCACCTCAAAGCTCTTGCTCTCTCTCTCTATATATGTATTATTGCTGTGTTATGAAAAACTAAACCAAAAGGGAAAATGATCTGCCCAAGATTGTTGTTGTTGTTAGGTGCCATCGAGTCAATTCTAACTCATAGTGACCTATGGACGACAGGATGAAACACTGCCCAGTCCCATGCTGTCCTCACAATCATTGCTATGTTTGAGCCCATTGTTGCCGCCACTGTGTCAATCCGTCTTGTTGAGGGTCTTCCTCTTTTTCGCTGACTTTCTACTTTACCAAGCATGATATCCTTCTCTAGGGACTGAACCCTCCCGATAACATGTCCGAAGTACCTGAGACAAAGTCTTGCCATCCTTGCTTCTAAGGAGCATTCTGGCTGTACTTCTTCCAGGACAGATTTGTTCATTCTTCTGGTAGTCTGTGGTATATTCAATATTGTTTGCTAACCATAATTCAAAAGTGTCAATTCCTTTTTGGTCTTCCTTATTCATTGTCCAGCTTTTGCATGCATATGAGGTGATTGAAAATACCAAGGCTTGGGTCAGGTGCACCTTAGTCCTCAGAGTGATATCTTTGGTTTTGAACACTTTAGAGAGGTCTTTTGCAGCAGATTTGCCCAATGCAATGTGTCCTTTGATTTCTTAACTGCTGCTTCCATGGGCATTGATTGTGGATCCACATAAAATAAAATCCTTGACAACTTCAGGCTTTTCTCCATTGATCATGATGTTGCCTGCTGGTCCAATTGTGAGGATTTTTGTTTTCTTTATGTTGAAGTGTAATCCCTATTGAAAGCTATATGTTGTCTTTGATCTTCATCAGTAAATGTTTCAAGTCCTCTTTGTATTCAGCCAGCAAGTTTGTGTCATTTGCATATTGCAGGTTGTTAATGAGTCTTCCTCCAATCCTGATGCCCCATTCTTCTTCATATAGTCCAGCTTCTCAGATTATTTGCTCAGCATATGGATTGAATAAGTATGGCAAAAAGATACAACCCTAACACACACCTTTCCTAATTTTAAACCACGCAGTATTCCCTTGTTCTGTTCGATCAACTGCCCCTTGATCTATGTACATGTTCTACATGAGCACAATTAAGTGTTCTGGAATTCCCATTCCTTGCAATGTTAGCAATAATTTGTTATGATCTACACAGTCGAATGCCTTTGCATAGTCAATAAAACACAGGTAAACGTCTTTCTGGCATTCTCTGCTTTTAGCCAAGATCCATCTGACGTCCACAATGATATCCCTTATTCCATGTTCTCTTCTAAATCTGGCTTGAATTTCTAGCAGTTCCCTGTTAATGTACTGCTACAATCGTTTTTGAATTATCTTCAGCAAATCTTACTTGCATGTGATGTTAATGATATTGTCTGATAATTTCTGCATGCTGCTGGATCACCGTTCTTTCGAATGGGCACATATATGGATCTCTTCTAGTCGGTTGGCCCGATAGTTGTCTTCTAAATTTCTTGGCATAGATGAGTGAGTGCTTCTAGCTTTGCATTCATTTGTTGAAACATCGCAATTGGTGTTCCATCAATTTCTGGAGCCTTAGTTTTTGCCAGTGCCTTTGGTGTAGTTTGGACTTCTTCCTTCAACACTATTGGTTCTTGATCATATGCTACCTTCTGAAATGGTTGAATGTTGCCCAATTCTTTCTGGTACAATTATCTGTGTATTCCTTCCATGTTTTTTGATGATTCCTGCATTGTTCAATATTTTACCCATAGAAACCTTCAATATTGTAACTGCAGGCTTGGATTTTTTCTTCAGTTCTTTCAGCTTGAGAAATGCTGAGTGTGTTTTTCCGTTTTGCTTTTCTATCACCAGGTCTTTGCACATTTCACTATAATACTTTACTTTGTCATCTCAAGCCACCCTTTAAAATCTTCTGTTCAGCTCTTTTACTTCATCATTTCTTCCTTTCACTTTACTCTACATTCAAGAGCAAGTTTCAGATTCTCTTCTGACAGCAATTTTGGTCTTTTCTTTATTTCCTGTCCTTTTGATGACCTTTTGCTTTCTTCATGTATGATGTCCTTAATGTCATCCCACAACTCATCTGGGCTTTGGTTATTAGTGTTCAGTGCATCAAATTTATTCTTGAGATGGTCTCTAAATTCAGGTGGGATACACTCAAGGTCATACGTTGGCTCTCGTAGACTTGTTTTAATTCTCTTCAGTTTCAACTTGAACTTGCATATGAGCAATTGATGGTCTGTTCCATAGTCAGCCCCTGGCCTTGTTCTGACTAATGATGTTGAACTTCTCCATTGTCTCTTTCCACAGATGTACTCATTTTGATTTCTGTGTATTTTATCCAGCGAGGTCCAAGTGTATATTTCTAACGAATAAGTCGTTCAGCTATTAAGTAACAGGATCAGCACTTAGACTTGAAGTTCTTCTCAATTCTTGTGAAAATAGTCTACCTGATTTCAATACTTCTGAAGATAGTATAATATGAGTCATATAAAATGAAGTCTTTCCATTTTTCACTGGACTAATTACTCCCTAAACAGAATATCAAGGGCAGATTCTTTGTAGCTAGAACTTCTGAGGAAAATGGTTGGAAGAGAAGTATTAATGCTTTGCAACAGGTACCGTCTTAGATTTAAATGGCTACATTTGAAGTCTTAACCCAGTGAGGTTTGGAAATGTAGGTGCTGTGGTGGCAGGGTTGGGGGAAATGGCTAAACTGTTTTCTTAATTCTGCTTCCAATATACTTCAGTTTTCTTTCCCAAAGTACACTCTGGCCACAGAATTTAACTTTTAACAAAATATGCAGCAGATATTTTCCTACCACAACTGAAAAGATTAGCTGAAGAGGGTAGGTAACTCAGTAATTCAGGACTTTATAGAGATCCACCATTACATGATGCTAAAGGTTATCGCCTTATTTTACAGATGAAGAAACTGAGGTTCTGAGGAGTTTGGCCATTTATCAGAGGTCACAATTTAAAACTCTCCCCTTCTGTTGGGAATTCTCCCTTAGAACTTGGAGCCAAATGCTACTAATTTTACTTTATATAAGAAAGAATAAATAGGAGCCTTGGTGGCGCAGTGGCTAAGAGCTATGCCTGCTAACTTAAAGGTCAGCAGTTCGAATCTACCAGCTGCTCCTTGGAAAGAGTATGGGGCAGTTCTACTCTGTTCTGTTGGATCGCTATTAGTTGGAATTGACTCGATGGCAGTGGTTTTGGTTTTTTTTTTTTTTTTAATAAGGAGGAATAGTTTCATCTAGGTTGAGGTCACAGGAGTGACTTCATGTTAGGAAGACGAGGGTGCTACCATACCTGCTGCATTGTCCTCCATGATGAGAGGACAGTGGAGGGGCAGGCAGTGATGGGTTTCCAGGTCAGATTGCTAGGATCTACTAGTGGCTTCTGATTTATTATTGGTGAGCTCTTGGTTTAGTGAAAAGAGCAACTGGATTCTAGCCTCAACTCTGAAATTAACTAATAATCATAATTACAGTAGCTATGGTTTATTGGGGAGTTTCTGAGTGGTTCAAAGACTTAATGTACTCAGCTGCTAACTTAAAGGTTCGAGTCCACCCAGAAGTACCTCAGAAGAAAGTCCTGGCAATCTACTTCTGAAAAATCAGCTACTGAAAACCCTAAGGAGCACAGTTCTACTCTGACACATATGGGGTCACCATGAGTTGGATTGACTTGACTCTATGGCAACTGTTGTTGTTGTTTTTTAATATTGTTTATTGGGCACTTTCTGTGTGCCTGTGTGTCTTGCATTGTGTTAAATATTTTATAGTCAGTACCTCATTTAATCTTCCTAACAGCCACCAGATACTGTTATTATTCCTAGTTGACTGATGAGGAAAATGAGACAGAGAAAACAAGTAACATGCCCAAGGTCATAGATTCTAAGTGGCACAGCCTAGGTCTGTCTGACTCCAAAGCCTGTGTTTTTAACCATTGTGCCTAGCTAATGCAATGTCATCACCTTGTTCCTGGTATCTGTCCTCTCATTGAATAGTAATGACAATAGCTTACACCCATACAGAACTTACCTGTAACAAACAGTATTCTAAATGCTTTGCATATATTACGTCATTTAATCTTCATGACAACCTTACCAGGTGGGAACTAATTTTGTCTCTATTTTACAGATGAGGAAACTGAGGGACAGAAAGCCCACTCAGCATGTGGAGAGAACAGGCTGTCTCAATCTAGTATCCACATGCTTAATCATCACGTCACATTGTGGAAGGTGGACAATATAATATCTTCAGTTATCTTTAGCTCTATCAATGTATTCTTTGGAGACAGGAATGTAATAAACCTTTGCCTACACTGGATCCCTCCCAGTCAGATAAATGTATTCTTTTAAAGGAAAGATAATGATGTCTTGTGAAAAGTTTTAGTGTGTTGTGATTAAGGAATATGAAAAAGAAGAGATGTTTTCCATATTCCTTTCTCTTCTTGAAATGAAAAAGAAGTTTCCAAAAGGGATGTCAATAATAACTTAGACTGAGACATACTGTTGATATTCTCTTTGAAGTATTCCATCCACTGGTGGATTGCGGAATCACCTATGAGATATATGAGTTTTCCTCTCAGGCATTCTTTCATTTCGGTGGGAGTCAAACTACAGGAGACAGGATTCCAGGTGTCTTTCCAGACATGCCCGCTGGGGACTGTGGATGTCATCCCAGGTTTGCATTTCTTTTTCCTTGGAACTGCTTGTACTGCCAAAGAATCAACAAGACAACATCTTCTAAAACATCAAATTACCAATATGTGTTTACTAAGAGCCTACTATCTTTTCTAGATACCCTTTTAGTAGGGGTAATTGTGGCTTTAGTGGCGGAAAAGTCTTGTTGAAGCATCCTGTTAATAGGATAGATATTTTTTCAGTAAAATTTTTCCCTGAAGTGAATTTTCTAAATGATCCCCATTAATGTTCATTGTGAGAGCAGATGTTGTCTCCCAGAAAAGGAAAATAGAGCCTTCTGGGTAAAATTTTAAATATTTGGTTGTTTTTCTATGGAAGTAAAACCATAAATTCTTGCTTAGTAATGAATGCTCAATTACACTATCATTTTAGCCCACTTCACCCCCAAGCTTGTCACACTCTGTCACAGTGTCTTCAATGCCACCATCAAACTGTAAATCTTTTGAGTTAAAGGCAGGGTAATGCAAAAAAAAATTAACAACTGGTTTTGGCTTGGGAACTGATCAATCTGTAATGGGTATGGCTGTCGGCTGAAGTAGGGTCCTGGTCCAAGATGTGCCAGGTATTAACCCGTTAGTCACTGGTTTATGAAGAGTCTGGGAATCTGAGAGGATGAGGTGCTATGATGGTGAGGAACCCTTGGTTGACTTGGGGCAGTGATTATTCACCCACCAAAGAGAAACCCAAAAACCAAAGGGAAGTTGTTTAATATTTTGACAAGTAGTACAAGTGTACCCATGTATCCTGAGTGAAAAACATGCAATTTCTATCTCTAGGCACATATTTAGACTTCAGTGTGAATAAATTTATTGGTGATTAGCAAGCAGTTAATGCTGAACTTCAAGCGATACAAAAGCTCTTGCCTTAAGTCAGTCCTAGTCTGTGAGGGGTCGGTAGAAACTGAAGAGAAATTAGTAAGTATAATTATGAAAGTACTATCTTATATGTTAAAATTTCTTGAAAGACAGCAAAGACGAAGAAGAGGTTGGAAACCTCTAGATGGTGATTCTTGGGCCAGTAGTGATGTGGGATGTAGTGATGTAGTGATGAGGAGACATGCTGTAAGGGATGGTGATGGTAGTGATGGTGCAGATGGTGATGTGAGAAGTGGCGGTGGTGTGGGGAGGTAGAGAACTATGTGTAGAAGTGGGAAAGAGGTTTGACGTTTAAAGGTTATTGGGTTAGAAAGGCAGGTAATCTGTTTCCCGATAAGTAGATTGATGATGAGAGTTATGCTAGTAAAACAGGTTTATGATATCCTAGAGGTTACAATTATTCACTCACTTAGGTAACTGATATCTTGGCCTACCTTAGAGAAGCCAGATTGGCAGTGTGGCCATAGGGCTGCTAGTAGTGAACAAATTCAGCAGAAAGAGGAAACCTTTTCAGGGGGTCTAGCACTAGCCACAGAGGGCAGTGGTCTGATCTCGTAGTACACGAGGTTGCCATGAGTTGGGAGCCAACTCAATAGCAGCTAACAACAACAACAGGACTAAGTACCACCTACCAAGCATAGGGAAAACTTACTGTTGCATTTGGAGACATGAATGGCTTTGAAGCTTTCCATAATCTCTACACCCACATTTGATCTTAAAGAGACAAATACAGAAACTAATCTGCAGGTAGCCCAAAATACCAGGAAATAAGAGAAGCTAGATTATCTAGCTTTAATTATTTCTTGGTGGTAAGTTAAACATTATGCCCAGAGATTCAGGCCATTTAGTAAAATTTCATTTCTTTGCTTATTAGTACATGGGATGCAGACATCCAGTAGGTGTACAAGGTGATTTATTGCAATGCAGAAAGAATATATTAGAGCATACATACACACTCATCTATTTCTCACCCTCTTTTAATTTTTGTTTATGTGTTTCAACGTAAGAGTTTTTTGTTTCAGTGATAAGGGTTAAATATCCAAAAAATTTTGGGGACTGTGGAGAGTAGGCACTGTCCCCAAATCAATTCACAGATTCCTTCTCAAATGCCTTTTCATAAAGAGTTCCAACATTGATATACTGATAAGAACTTCATTTGGATTAACATATAGTCACATCGTATTTGCCCAAGTAATCTCCAGAAATAGTGATTTACCTTTGAAAGAGGCTCCTTTCTTGTTTGCTGAGATAAGAAACTTCCTTGTTCTTGGAGTGCATGTGGGTGAGTGCAGCACAGGGCATTTGTTGAGGTTTCACGCAGTAGAAGGTTTCTTGGTCTTGAGCATCTAGGTACTGGCACAGTTTAGCACTTGAGTTTAAAACCAGGGCACAATTGGTATTGACATGGTAGGTGCCTGTGGAAAATTGGCCAGTGAAGATCACCCTGTCGTAGCCTTGGTTCCTTGCCCGCCAGAGAGCGGACACTCCTTCACTGGGGTGGATGAGCAGCAGGGACAGAGACATCTGGCCTTCCCAGAACAGAGTGAAGCGGACAAGGTAGGTGCCGTTGTTGTAGTCGGTCACCTCTCCTGAAGCGCCTGCCTTCAGGGCTGGGGAAGACATCCTGGCCCTCAGGAAATCCCCACCATACTCCTTTCTGCGTCCCATGTGGTCCCTCACCTCCAACAAGAGGTCTAGCTGCTCCCCTGTGCAGTAGGTGTCTCGAGGATTGAGCACAGTGACTCTGCTGTGTGCTGCGCTGGTGGTGGTGTTCATGTGGGGGAAAGGTCTGGGTGGGATCAGCTGATCTAATTTCTTCATGATTTCCTTTATCCTCAGGTCAGTCTTTACTGGTGAAACCACTGGACACAATGGGGCTTCAGGGCATGAGGACTTCTTGAAATTCCAGTAATGGAGGGAAACGGGCAACATGAGTGCAGTCCAAAACTACAATGATAGGGAGTATGATAGAGAGCATAGAAACTGTCCCTATTTAATATATTAATTTTTGGTGGGTTAGCCATCTTCTATCTTTTATTGACTAATGGAGGGATAGAAAAATAAAATGTTGAAATTTTATAATCATATATTATCTCACATGAAAAATGATTTTCCTTAAAAAATCTTATGGTAGAAATCCACTTCTTACTGGTTAATTTATTTTAGATGAGCCATTTAATCCCTTCAAATCCTAAAATTATTTTCCTTAAGGTAGTGATGATAAAATCTACCTTATAGGGCATTTGTGAAGATCAAATGAGAAAATTTTTTTTCACTGGTTAGCAGAGAACAAATGTTTATTGTTCTTTTTTTTTAATCTGAAAAGTAAAACTCTATAATTTAAATAAATCCTTAAGAAACTGTTTAAAATACATGGGGCTTCTTTGTAAAATATGGATTATCCATTTTCTTATTTCATCTTTTATTTACATATTCTATGAGATTTATTAGTATTTAGTATTTTTCACATTAATTTTGCTCCTATAGAAGACATATAAAAGTATGCTTATAAAAATATTTATTTTCTAATCATAAAATAAAACTGATTTATTATTAAAAAATTAAACAGTACAGAAACTGTAAAGGAAGAAAAATCACCTATGATCATACTAATCATTTTGGTGAATTTCCCTCACTCTTTGTATGACATTTTACATGATTGTGAACAAACTGAATATTTACCATTGAATTTTGATTTAAAAAAAATGTTGTCATTAAAAATGTTCCCCCTTATCTTGAAGGCTCACATAATATTCCAGCCTGTGGCTATAGCTGACAGCTGCTTGCATCAGGGTAGTTTCCTTTCACCATACTTATTCAGTCTGTATGCTGAGCAAATAATCCGAGAAGCTGGACTGTGTGAAGAAGAATGGGGCATCAGGATTGGAGGAAGACTCATTAACAACCTGCATTATGCACATAACAAAACCGTGTTTCTGAAAGTGAAGAGGACTTGAAGCACTTACTGATGAGGATCAAAGACCACAGCCTTCAGTATGGATTACACCTCAACATAAAGAAAACAAAAATCCTCACAACTGGACCAATAAGCAACATCATGATAAACAGAGAAAAGATCGAAGTTGTCTAGGATTTCATTTTACTTGGATCCACAATCAACACCCATGGAAGCAGCAGTCAAGAAATCAAAAGATGCATTGCATTGGGCAAATCTGCTGCAAAAGACCTCTTTAATGTGTTAAAAAGCAAAGATATCACCTTGAGGACTAAGGTATGCCTGACTCAGACCATGGTGTTTTCAATCCCGTCATATGCATGTGAAAGCTGAGTGATGAATAAGGAAGACCGAGGAAGAATTGATGCCTTTGAATTATGGTGTTGGCAAATAATATTGAATATTCATGGACTGCCAGAAAAACAAACAAATCTGTTTTGGGAAAAGTACAACCAGACTACTCCTTAGAAGGAAGGATGGCAAGACTTTGTCTCACATACTTTGGCCATGTTATCGGGCGGGTTCAGTCCCTGGAGAAGGACATCATGCTTGGTAAAGGAGAGGGGCAGAGAAGAAGCGGAAGACCCTCAGCAAGATGGATTGATACAGTGGCTGCAACAATGGGCTGAAGCATAACAATTGTGAGGATGGCACAGGACCAGATAGTGTTTCATTCTGTTGTACATAGGGTTGCTATGAGTTGGAACCGACTTACGGCACCTAACAACAACAACATGGCTATAGCTTAGTATTTTACCTTTCCCAATGTTTTTGGACATTTATTGCTTTCAGCTTTTTTCTATTACAGGTACTTCTATTAAAAAAAAAAAAAAAACATCTTTTGGTAGACATCTTTCTTGCAATTTAGGTTATTTACAGAGAATCTCAGAAATAGAATTATTGGTAAAATGTGGTGAACATTGTTAAGTGTCTGGACATATGCTGTGAAATTGTTTTCTAGAAACGGTTTGCACCCAAACCATCAATACTTCAGAATTCCAATCTTACTGCATACTCAGAACATTAGGTAGCTTAATTTTAGAGATGTTTTCCTGGGCTTGAAATCTGGCTCTGCCGCTAACCAGCAGTGTTACCTTGGTCAAGTTTCTTAACTTCTCTGTGAATCGATTTCATCATATAAAAATTTAGGCCTTAAATATAAACGCATCACCTATTTACTGGGAAGTAGGAAGAGAAGACTTAATTGGGCCAGAAATTATGAGGAATACCCTAAAAATAAAGTCGTCACGTGGCTATTGCAAGGATTAATAAGCTAACATCTGAAAACAACTTAGAATGGTACCTGGCACATGTGAAGTGTTTCTTATTATCTCTATTATTTGATAAATAAAAACTTTTTATTGAAATATTTTGATATGGCAAATAATACAACAGTAATAATATTAATCATAACAATGTCTTGGAACATAAGCTTTTATTGGACCAACTCTTACGCAGACAGCAATGATAAATTCTGGACAAAAATATGAAAAAACAACCTCTAGAAGTATTGGAGAATGACTAAAAGAGAGAAGAAACCAGAGGAAGTCAATATTTGAAAGAAGAGGCCAGCACTGGACTTGTATTAGAAGAAATGATAATAAAATTTCTTCAGACTGAAGGGAAATTAGACAGAAACACAGATCTTCAGGAAGGAATGAAAAGCACCAGAAATGGTAAATGTATGGATACATATAAAAGATTATCTGTTTCCTCTCTTAATTTCTTTAAAATGCTTATAATTATTTAAGGAAAAAATTATAATATTTTTTGTAATATCATGACAAATATTGCTTAAAGAATGAGGTGGGGAATAAATGGAACTGTTTGGTTGAATCAAGGATTTCATTTTAATTGGATCTACAATCAACACCCATGGAAGCAGCAGTCAAGAAATCAAAAGATGCATTGCATTGGGGAAATCTGCTGCCAAAGACCTCTTTAAAGTGTTAAACACAAAGATGTCACTTTAAGGACTAAGGTGAGCGTGACCCAAGCTATGTTGTTTTTAATCACCTCATATGCTTGTGAAAGCTGGACAATGAATAAGGAAGATTGAAGAAGAATTGATGCATTTGAATTATGGTATTAGCAAAGCATATTGAATATACCATGGAATGCCAGAAAAACTAACAAGTCTGTCTTGGAAGAAGTACAGCCAGAGTGCTCCTTGGAAGCGAGGAGACGGCAAGACTTCATCTCACGTACTTTGGACGTGTTATCATGAGGGACCAGTCCCTGGAGAAAGACATCATGCCTGGTAAAGTAGAGGGTCAGTGAAAAAGAGGAAGACCCTCAGTGAGATGGATTGACACAGTGGCTGCAACAATGAACTCAAGCATAATGATTGTGAGAATGGTGCAGAAGTGGACAGTGTTTCATTCTGTTGTACATAGGGTCACTATGAGTCAGAACTGACTTGATGGCACCTAACAACAACAACATGTGGTTGAAAAGTTATTACAAATGACATGAAGTGATACAATATTAACTCTAAAAGTTAAGGATATGTATTGTAATCCCTAGAAAAACCACTTTAAAAAAACGAGATAGATATATATATATGTATATATGTATGTGTATATATATACATACAAACTTACATACATGTACATATCTTTTAGAAAAACATATATGTATGTATATATATGTTTTAAAAAAGTTTTCATTTAACCCAAAAGAAGACAGAAAGGAGGAAGAGAGGAATGAAAAGCAGAGGGGACAAACAGAAAACAAATAGCAGAGTGGTGGACCTCAATCCACTTATATTAATAATTACATTAAATGTGAGTGGACTAGATACTCCACTAAAGGCAAAGGGAAAAAGCAAGACCCAAGTATTTGCTGTCTACAAGGAATGCAGTTAAAACATAAAGATACAGATAGATTGAGAGTAAATGTATGGAAAATGATATAACATGTAAGCATAAAAAAACTAATATTAATATTAAAGTAGACTTCAAGACAAAGAATATCACCAGAAATAAAGATGGACATTTCTTAATGATAAAAGGGTTAATTGGTCAGAAAACATAGTAACTTAAATGTTTACTTGCCTACAAATACATGTACTTACACATGAAGCAAAAATTAACAGAATTGAAGGGAGAAATGTAAAAACCCACCATCGTAATTGAAGATTATACAAAAATCAGGAAGGAGCCAGAGAATCTGAACAACATTATCATGGTAACGTCTTAATTTTTTTGTTGTTGTTGTTGTTGTTGTGAATATACACAGCAAAATATATTGTTGTTTTTAGGTGTTGTCTAGTTAGCTCCGACTCATAGCGACCCTATGTACCACAGAATGAAACACTGTCCAGTCCTATGCCATCCTCACAAATGTTACTGTGTTTGAGCGCATTGTTGTAGCCACTGTATCAATCCATCTCGTTGCGGATCTTCTTCTTTTTTGCTCGCCCTATACTTTACCCTGGTGGTGCAGTGGTTAAGAGCTCAGCTGCGAACCAAAAGGTCAGTAGTTCGAATCCAGCAGCTACTCTTTGGAAACCCCATGAGGCAGTTCTACTCTGTCCTATAGGGTTGTTATGAGTTGGAATAGAGTCAACCGCAACGGGTTTGGTTTTGGTCTTTATACTTTACGAAGCATGATGTCCTTCTTCAAAGACTGGTCCCTCCTGATAACATGTCCAAAGTATGTAAAACGAAGTCTCGCCATCCTTGCTTCTAAGGAGCATTCTGGTTGTACTTCTTCCAAGATAGATTTGTTCATTCTTTTGGCAGTCCATGGTATATTCAAGATTCTTCACCAACACCACAATTCAAAGCTGTCAATTCTTCCTCAGTCTTCCTTATTAATTGTCCAGCTTTCGCAGCAAGTGAGGCAATTGAAAACACCATGGCTTCCGTCAGGCTTACCTCAGTCCTCAAGGTGACATCTTTGGTTTTCAAAGCTTTAAGGAGGTCTTTTGCAGCAGATTTGCCCAGTGTAATGCATCTTTTGATTTCTTGACTGCTGCTTCCATGGG